CACCCTCCAGTGCCCTTCTGCATTATCATCTAGACTTGCTTAAATCCAAGCCACTCATGAAAATAGGACTCACAGACTCAAATGCCTACAAGGAGACAGGCACATAGTATAAAAGAGCTAAAAGAACAGTGTCAAATATGCCAAATTTTCCTGCTTCTGGCCCTCTACACAAGCTGTTCTCTCCACCTGAAATTCTGTTTTTACTTCCATATATAATGGGTTTTCTAGTTTATCAAAGTTTTAACACATCTTAAAACCACTTCTCAAAATTCAAGCATAAAAAGAAAAGAGGCTTTATGGGTGGATTCAGGACTTGCCTGTGTACAGGATGCGGCTGATCATCCCTGGCATCACCATGAGGAACATGGGCAGCAGCTTCAGGTAACCACACATGATGCAAGCAGCCTTCACATGAGACATGTTCTTGCCCGATAGGCAACGTTGTACAATAATCTGCCGGGAAAACACAACACAGTCATGAAACAACCAGAGGATGACTTCAAAGAAGGGGAGTGCCTCTTTTCAGGGATTAATGTTATAATAAGAAATAGGGTCATGGCTAGTGGGGAATAATGGGCTTCAGGATAAAATCAGGACTCAAGTCCCTACTCCTCTCACATGAGTATTTGACTTCTCTGAGTCTCAGTTTTCTCATCTCTAAATAGGGTTATCTCTTGTACGGCATTCTGAATATCAGGTATAATTTTTATAAGACTCTTGGTACATAGAAGTCAATACTCATCACTACTATTAAAACACATTTACAGCTCGCAGGCTGCATTGCAACAATGGCTGTGTGCTCCTCCAGGTACAAAGCTGTCACTACTGATCTTTGCCACAAGTTGTGTGTTTAAGTTGTGTCTTTAATATTGTAGGCACTGAATAAGCCACATACTCATCAGTATCTCTCTACTGTTATGGGGCAATTGTCCCCTTGGGAAATCAAGCCCATCGCCATGGAAACACCATAGTCAGGCAGCTATCAACATAGAACCCTGACACATTCATCTCTAGATTTCTTCAGAATATTCTGAGGACCTCAGTGAGTTATGAATCAAATATGATGGTCCTGGGAAAATAAATGCATATAATTTCATAATTTCTACTTAAGTTGTGCTGTCTCTTAACTAAGAATTTTTTAGCAAAACAGGATTTCTACCCATAATGTCATAAATTCGTGATATTTTTTCTTCTCAAGGACTGCCCTTGAGAAGAAAGTAGGGATGCCTTTTTTTTCTGCTTAATTCTCTTTGGAGAGACAAATCTATTAGGGAGAGCAGCAGTGTCATTCAGTGCTGGGGGAGCAGGTGACATTTTTAGATGGAGGGCTAGAAGCAGACAGTTGGAGGGACAACACAAATTACAGGTGAGGAAGGGAGTCCTGTCAGCAGATAAGCAGGTTCAGATATCAGATCTAAGGGTGAATGTGAGGCCACTTATACAAGGCAAGTCACGTGGTCAGAGGCAAAATATAAATAATAAAGATGGTTCCACAAATCAACGATGAAAGTATGCATTCTTTGGTAGATATATGGCAAAAGTCAGTTTATTATATAGAGAAAAAGAAAACTGGATCCCACATTAACATCACAAATGAAAACTGATTCAAGATAGGCTAAAATTGTAAAATTATAAGTTTGAGTTGATGCAGACTATTTAGGGAGAAGAAAACATCAAAAAACAAAACAAAAACAAACTCAAATGGTATGAAAAGGAAGATCCAGAGAAAACAATAAGATCTTGGAAGTTGTAACTACGACGGCAGAAAAACTGGAGGATAAAGTTAAGGAAGTCTCCTAGAAGGTAGAACAAAAGATTAAGAGATGGAAGATAAGAAGAAAAGATAAAAACACTAGAGAACCAGCTGAGGAAGACCAACACCCCAAAATAGAAGGTCCCCAAAGGAAAAAAAATGGAATGGAAGAAATCAAAGAATCCCCCCAAATCATTCAAGACATCCATTACCAGATTAAACAGGTTCACAGTGGCTCATCACAATGGACAAAAATAGATCCACACACAATACTCCATTGTGGTAAAATTTCAGAACACTGAGGACAAAGGAAAGACAAGCTTCCAGAAAGAAAAGATAGGTCATGTCTGAAGAATTAAGAATAACTTCAGGCTTCTGAATAGTAATGGTGGAATTCAGAAAACGCAATGAATCTACGGCTTTGGGAAAATTATTTCCAACCTAGAAATGTGTACATAGCCAAAGGATCAATTTAGGAAAAGTTGGAGTGAAGACATTTTCAAACATGCAAATTCACAATAAGTTTATCTCCTTTCTCAAGTACTTACTGGAGAATTCAATTGCCCTGAAAGAAGGAGTAAACCAAAAAAGAAGATTCTGTAGAATACTGGAAATAGGAGATATAACCTAAGAATGAGGCAAAGGGAATCTCAAATATGGTAGTGAAAGGAGTCCTGGATGAGGGTGGGCACCAAGCACAGAGAGCAACCTGACACATTGTGAGAGGCCAAGGGTTCTGAGAGGAAATGAGGAAAAGAGTTGGTAGAATACTTGATGTGTTTGCAAGTATTGAGAAGAGATATAAGCAATTTGCAGAGGGTTTGGTTTTGATGAGTAATAATTACAAAGAAAATTTAAAGCAAAAAAGTTAAGATTTATTCTAGAGAAAAGAAAAAGCTAAAGAAAAATCAATCAAAGAGTATCATGTGTCTCAGCTGTGAATTACGTTTATGTAGTCACAAAAATGGTAGCATCGAATGTTGGTCTCATCAAAAGTGTAAATGAGATCTATTGGGAAGATGAGAAACAGGAGCTGTGCTTGTGTGGAACTGAGGATGGAAAATTGAAAGAGCCAAACCCTCATTTCTCACTGTGGAAAGCCAATAGAAAAATCCTAAAACTGGAAAACCAAAGGAAGCGTACGAGCATTTATTTGAATCACCTAGGGATCAAATTTACAAGCAAATTGTGATTCAGTGGGTCTGGGTAGCATCTGAGAGTGTTTATTTCTAATGAGCTTCAAGGTGACATCCATGCTGATGGTTCACAGACCACACATTGAGTACAAGGATCCAGAGAATAGAAATGCATACCAAAATAGTTAACTGAAAGAGCTGAAAGTGAAATAGGGTGGAGAGCAGGACACCAGACAGCTGTTTTTCATAACAAGCCTTGTAGAAGTATTTGACTCTTTAAACGATATGTGTGTATATGCGTACAAAATAGAAACTAGATGCTTTTCTTATGAGAAGAGAAAGAACAACGTAAGCATATTCACATGCCACACACACACTTTACCTGATCTGAGCACCAGTACCATGCAGCTACTATGGTCATTCCAAATACCGTTCCTGGCCATGGAATATCCCCAGTGACAGCATCCCGGAAAATGTGGAAAGAGTCTGCTTGAGGAGTGTAGCATGAGGGACTGATTGTCAGGTTGTCCCCCTCGACTACGGTTGGGATGGCATTCATGTACTTCTCTGTAAAGCTCTCGTAGCCTCCAACTTCGGCAAATGCTGAAAAGGCATTGGATAAAATTAAATGTTTTGCAAACATCTAAAACACCTCATGTTCATAATTATTCCTTTGTGGTGGAGGTACCCAAGCACCTCCAATCAGCCTGGTCAAGTCCTCAGGGTCCTTCCCCCAGGTTCCATGTCTTTCTAGCACCTCCAATGGCATTGGCCACGCTATCAGATTTACTTTCACAAAGTACATAAAGCAAATCACCCTTTAGTTACTTTTCCTATGGTGCTCTTGAAAATTTTGATTTAGTGTCTAGCCTTATTGTAAAAATAAGACCATTATCCAACAGACTGATATTGATGTCTCACAACCATCTAGAGCAGAAATAAACCTGGACAAGGGTTAACAGAGTGACCCTAACAGAATTAGCCATTAGGAAGCTCCAACTCCTCTGAAAGGGCCGGGAGGCAACAGCCTTTTCTTGACACAGAGCCTGGGTGGTGTGACCTTATGCACAGTGTGGTGGTCTGGTGCAATACTGTATTCCTCCTAGGTTACAATAAAAAAAATGGGAAGATAAGAAGCAGAAATTTGGAGCAGTAGACCATGTGTGGTGAGGGGAAATGGTGAGACTCAGCCCACTGGGGGTCTGGAAAGGCTAGTCAGGTATAGAAAAGAGCCATAATGGATGGAAACCCCAGAAAGATGAGCCCAGGCATCTGGGGCCACTTAGCATAGGTTCAAATGATGCAAAATTCATACATTTGTAGAGTTGAGGTTAACATTAATTTACTTCTTCATTAGTTATTTAACTGAACACCAATATTTTTGTCTGTGCCACACATGGTGCTGGTATTATGGGCAATATGAATGTGCAAGGCAGGAACTCAATCTCATGGAGGATACAGATGATACAAGGAAGTTGTTCTGATAAGGGGAATATGGTTTGTGACAAAAATACATGGGGGACCTAGGAGATGAAAGAGTCCATCCCTAAGAATAGGAGAAGTGACGTTCAGAGAGGCTGATGCCAGGGAGTGCATCACTGAGGCCAGAAACCAAAGAACCATGAACAAGAACAGCATAGAAGTTCTGGCTCACTAAATAGAAAGTTCACAAGGAATTGGTACTAGCAGTTGCCTCTAGAGCAGCTCTGTGCAATGGAACAGTGAAAGTTCTGTTCTATAATGGTGAAGTTTTTGTTTCAATAGAAAGTTCTGTGCAATAGAACTTTCTGCAATGATGGAATTGTTCTATATCTGTGCTGTCCAATATAGTAGTAACCACTAGCCATATACTGATAGCACTTGAAATGTGTTTAGACAAATGAGAAACTGAAGTTTTAATTTTAATTAATTTAAATTTAAATATCCATAGGTGGCTAATGGCATCCATATTGTGTCAAAATCACCAAACACCATTGTGGATTTGTTATCTTTGCAGTTCTATCAGTTTTTGCTTCATGTGTCTTCAAGCTCTGTGATTAGGTGCATGCATACTCAGAATTGTTGTATACAGTGCAGCTTGAGTGGGTGGAGCATGGTGGCTGCAAGACAGGGGAGGGATGAAAAGACATTTATTTTCACCCTATATCCTTTTTACTGTGTGCATGGATTTCCTATGCAAAGATAAAAAAATACCGTAATAAAAGAAAACAAAAATTAACAAGCTGTAAATTAGATTCATCAATACTGCTTGCTGGCATGACTTATTCAAGAGAACGAACTAACTGATGATACTAATAAGCAAGAATCATAAAGAAAAATCAGAGGAGAGGAGTCAAGATGACGGCATAAGCAGACTCTGAACTCACCTCCTCCTGAGGAAACAGCCAATTTACAACTACTCGTGGAAAAATTACCCTGAGACAGAACTGAAAGCTGGATAAGAGGAATTCCTGCAACAAAGGACAATCCTAATTGAGGTGGAAGAGGCTGAAACTCCCTTCTGGAGAGAAAAAATGCTGCCTTCACAAGCTGCATCACCTCACGGCTGCCAGGGAGCAGCCCAAAGGTACGCAGCCTCCCTGAAGGAGTGGGGTCCTGAGCTGGGAGCGCCCCCACTGTGGGCACTTTGTGGACCCAGCACAATCAAGATGAGTGGCATAATATCTGACGTGGCCGGCTACTAAAACATTGGGGAGTACCCCCAGAAAAGCTGGTTCACAAAGAAATTAAAACCGGCTCTTAAAGGGCCCACACGCAAACACACCTGTTTCAGAAAGCAATCAAAAATCACCAGAAAGTAAGGTGCACAGTGCTTTGGTGAAAAGAGACTCACCTGATAGGCTCTGAGTACATTGCAGTGACAGGTGAGACCTCTCCAGGGACTGGGACATTGGCAGTGGCCATTGTTGTGGCCTGGTGTGGGCATGCTGATACAGAAGCCATTGGAGTTCTCCCTGGGGCCTGTTAGCCCAGGGCTGAAGCACCCACTAGAGCACCGATTTAATCCAGCTCAGCCAGGGCAGGCAGCCCACCCTAGAGACTGGCCCCACCCAATAACAAGCCCTCAGGCATCTTGTGGGCCTGCATAGATTGGTGACTGGATTCTCTGCAGCCTGGCAACTGAGCCGACTTCAGTGGGGCAGGGCATGCACAAGGAGTGGGTGGAGTGTGTGGGGCTCCCACCGTGGAGAGACTGGGTCCACTTCAGGAGGTCGGGGCATGCACATGGAGCAGGACTGTGTTGA